ACATGCTAACTGTCCCATTTGTATGAAGATAACAAAAGTGCCCCTCACCAGCACATATGGTCGCATCAAGCGAGGCAAACAACCCTTCGTAACCTGGCAAATAGATTATGTAGGTCCATTGCCCACCTCACAGGGGTGAAAGTATATATTAACTGCTGCAGACACCTACACAGGCCTTATGTATGCATATTCTACCTCCCATGCAAATCAATCCTCTACTGCACGGGGCTTAGAGCAGCTCATGTATGCTTATGGCATACCAAAAGGAATGCAGAGTGACCAGGGTGCCCTGTTTGCCGGCCATGTAGTACAAGAATGGGCAAAGGACTTGGGGATCACCTGGATCTTGCACATACCCTACCACTCTCAAGCTAGTGGATTAATAGCGAGAATGAATGGCCTGCTAAAAGAACAGATTCAAAAACTTACCCCCACGCAGACCTTAAGAGGGTGGGTGAGCATACTCCTACAAGCACTGTTTATGCTTAACAACGGGCATGTTGGAATGCTTCCTCCCTATGAGCAAGTACAACCCAAACCAACCCTAGTGATTCCTGCTCAGATATCTGTAAGGGAAGGGGAGTTGCCCCCCGCTTACTCACCTCTGGGGAAGTAGACTTCTATACACCCAAGCAACTGATGATTACTGGACAGAGTTGTGCGCTTACATTTGAGACTTGACTGCCCTTCACAGTGTGTATGGCTGTTTACACCCTTAATACCTGTTCAAATAGCCCCACTCTTATCGACCTCATCTCAAGATTTATCTTTCCAGGTATCCATATCCACCCCAGTGAATGTCTCGCAGGGACCACCAATACTGCGAGGAATTCTGATCCACAGTGCTGGGTTGCCTCAAGTTCAGCAAATACTCTCAGTACAGTCTTTAGCCAGTGCATGGATACTAAGTCCTCAGAAAGAAAAATGGCCTGGCACTGTTTTAGCAGATGGCCCAGGAGCCACTGGTCTAGTTCTTCCTGATGGCGACACCATGCCTTTCTATCTTCCCATCAACAGGTTATCAGCTCGGCATCTCTAAGTTGGCTGTTGGAATGTTGCCTCTTGTTGACCACGACAGATGCTATTGATCCGCAAGGCCATCCAGCCTCCCATGTAAATACATGGATTTGGCTCACACAAAGATCAGCTCACCTCTGTGCTTTCTGTGTTGCAGGAGGACAATCACTGAATGATGTCTTCACTACGTGTCACATAGGTGTACTACCTCCACTCGTGGCATTGCAGAGTTACACTTTTCTAAAAGATTTTGCTATTTCTGTTATTCCCATGAATTTATGCAATTTGGGTGTTGTTTCCCAAAAGCTGACACCTTGGGCTTGCTCTTTTCATATAGCTAACGCATCTAAAACAGATATTTGCTTTTGCTTTGTAAATGCTACCTATGTTCTGTAGAAAGTAACCAATATCCAGTTAATTTGTAACGACACTATGAATATTACCTGTGCATCTGTTCGCCTGATACTACCACTAGGATGGTTCCTTCTGTGGGGCACTACAGCATATACATATATGCCAGCCAGCATTACAGGTGGCCCATGCACTGTAGGTCATGTTGCTTTAACCATCCTCCCCTTTATAACAAAGTGGTGAAGACCCCATGGCATATCCTAGATTCCACTTGTAACCCCGAATAAGTTTATTTTCCCATGCAGAAGATAGGCCTATTGTTAAGCCTGGTTGGGATCTCAGGGGTGGTGGTGCGTAGTTATAAACAGAACATATTGCTTGTGCTTTAGCTCAAGGTTTAAATTGGATATTTGGAGCCACTGCCTCTTTAAATAAAAGGTTGGGAGCAGTATGGCAAGGAACACTGCAAAACCATCTAGTGATCGACTGTCTCCTACTACGACATAACCACAGATGTCATAACTTCACTGGGATGTGCTGTTTTAACGTCACTGATGAATCAGCATCGATTAAGAACGCTATCAGCCACTTAGAAGATATTATCCAACATATCCCGCAGAACGACAGAGATGGCTGGCTGGCTCAATCATTTGGCTCCCTAATGGGATGGCTGGGCCACCTTATACAAGGAGGACTCTTGTTTATCTTTGCTTTGCATTATGCTATGTTTTGATTTCATTGCTTTGTAAATTCTCTTGCCCTCATACTCCACGTCCTTCTGAAGACTGAGACGGCCTGTAACTATCTTTCTATCACAGGGGTGGAGCGTATGGGAAAACACGGAGGAATGTCGAGGAGATAGACGATGGAAGCTAGCCAGACCATTCCATGGGAAAAGGAGCATCAACAAGGCGTGTTGACTCACAGTCATGTGGCTGAGCCCGTGCCAGTGTGGCGTTGCACTTGGGCTTTGAATCGGAAGCAGAGATGAGCTCAATAGCCTTGCTGCGCATGTGTGTAGTCCATAAAAACCTCACGTAGTGCCCCCCGCCCGGCGTTCCTCGCCCTGGACTGACGCTCAGCGGTGCCAGGGACTCTCCCGCTCCATTATTGCCTCGATCTGGAAATCGCTGGGGAACCCCCGCTGAGACGCAGAGGTAATAAACGCTCAGTATCGACCCTACTGTGCCTTGTGTTCGTGTATCTGTCCCTGCCGGGAGTCCAGGCGGTGCCCCTGCCTTACCCTTGCACCAGTTTACAGGCTTCAGGAGTTAGAGCTAGATATGCTCAGTGCCATACAGAGCCCCCTTGGGAGCTCTCCCCTTGGAAACTCTGCTCTGGTTCTGTTTTGCCAGACTTTCTGGAAAATCTTCTACAGTACTGAGGCTTTCATTTGGGTTTTTGGTTGAATTTGAATAAGTTTTCTGTCTTTTTGTTTGTTTTTTAATTTCTGGATAGAGGCTCACACTTCAGATGTATTGGACTGTGCCAGCGTGTTCAGTCCCTTTCAGTCCGTTGCACAACCCCCCAATTTTTTGCAAGTTTTATCATTATCATTATTTGTAGGAAAAATGCTCTGAGAAGCACTGCATGCCCTTCAGTAGAGGTTTCAGGACTGCAGAAGGAATGAAAGATCCCTTTGTGAAACATCTAAATGGGTTCCTCAACACTAGCTAAGTCCTTGAAGGCTCCTCTCCCTCTCATCTCCTTTCCTCTCTCCCTCCCCTACTCTGTGATGGCCCTCACAGCTGGCTGGAGGAGAACGGGGGCTTTATTCATCACTCAGAAGATATCACTGTGAACGACCAGTCACTTCCAGCATAACGCAGCGCATGGTAGTGACTATCTGACCCACTCTTTCGAAAGTGCCTCGGTCCTGATTTCAGCATTACCAATGATGGGGACTTGCTGCAATTAGCTAGCTGGGCTCGTGACTAAAGTGAACTCCTCCAGCTCAGTTCAGGGTCATCTTCTACATCTCATGGCTTTGGTGAGGAAGAAGCCCTTAACAGGTTTCTGTTTCCCTCCAGGATATTTCTAGGCAGTTATCTAGTCTTCCTTTTGGGAGAGGCTGAGCAGGAGCAGTCTGTCCTGCTCAGGCATACTTGCTTGCCCACCTCCGCAGGTCCTGGCTCACTGCTCTCCAGCACTTCCAGCCTCGCGCACAGCTGGTTCCAAACCTAAGCAGTGTGCAGTAGCAGGGATCATGCCAGCATCAGACACATAAATCAGATAACATGTCTCTTAGTGCTCCCTGGTAAAACAGCTAGCAATATCTATGCCCTTCCTCTATACAGCATTACGTTGCCTGCCCTGGTCCCCAGACATCTTTCCGTTAGTATTTTCCAGTGGCTTGTGTTGTTTGCTTCTGTATTAAAAAAATGTTTTTTTTGTCGTAGCATGACTGCTGGTCTCCCAATGTTGGGATGCTCTGCAAATTATTCTGTGCTTTCTTCCAGTTTTCCTATAGCAGCTCTCAAGGGCTCATGGCCAAGCTCGACTATTTGTGAATCCTATTACAAACACACTCATTCCCAGACATTTAAACTCTTTAGACCTATAAGCAAAGAGCTCTTAGTCTTTCAAATATCCGCCAGCAACTTAATTTCTTAATTGTAATGTCATTGTGGGATATGAAGTAAAACACTGAGAGAAGATGAGGTCTCAACACCAGTCCTGTTATTTTTATCAACAATAACAGCAGTTTCATTCACGAACAAAAAGAAATCCGAAGACAAAACTGTGAACCCAGCTTAATTCCTTGACTCTCAGCGTTTTTCAGTTCACCTGTGAGTGGCTGGAGCCTGGTACTCCAAAGTGCCAAAGAAAACAGAAGGGGTAAGCTCATCTTCTCTGGGTTAGGAGCTCCTCGTTATAGCTCATCCAGCAGCTAAGACTCAACAACATTTAATATAGTTTGGAGCAAGTGATGCCAAAAGAAAATTGCATAGCAGGACTGCAGCAATTGCAGTAAAAGCTGTCAAATGTCCTTGTCCCTATGTTTTCACTAACCTCTCTCCTGGTATTTTCATCCCCTTGTTTTAGGCTCCCCCAGCCTCCTTAGTTCCTTACCTTGCTTGACACACAGGACCGCAGCCAGCAGGGCAATGGGAAAAGCCTTCATGGTTGTTGTGCCCTCAGAGCCTGTACGGTATGGGATGTTGCACCATGGGTAGGTTTTATACTGGGACCACATTTGCTTTGGTTTCCTTTGATTACAGCAATTTGAGGTTTGGGGAGTGACGAGACATAACATGGGATCAGTTGCTGGGTGTGTTTGTGTGTAGCCATTAACCTATTAATGGGCTTCAAGTAGCAATTTTTTCTACCTCTCATTTAGAGTCGGTTTTTCTTTTCCAAGACAGGCTCCTGCTCATCACGTCTGTGTTGCTAATGTGGGGAACAATTTGTCTGACTCAGACATGGGAGTCTCTTCTCAATTCGTAGGGCTGAACTGTGAAACTTGGAGCAAAGCAGATGTAGGTGTGCCAATCTAGGGTGACTCCAAGCTTGCAAGATAGTAGGAGTCTCTAGGCATCCTCTGTCTTTTCTGTCTGCTATAATATAATAGCTTAATATCTGTAAGATTGGGAAGTGGGAGAAGAGACAAAAGAGAAGATTTTTCACTGGATTGTCCAAAATCGTTCAGAGTTTTCTCACTTGTACCAAGAAAAACACCTTAAGCAGGAAAGCAGCTTGGACCACTTCTGCAAAGAACACTATTTGTGCCTGAGAACTGTCATTCAGGGGCTCTCACGGACTAGACAGGGATGAGGTCCAAAGCTTTTGTTTGCTTCTCTGTCATCTGGAAGCATCTGGAGTTTCCAAGCAACGATGTTTATTGCTACCTGCGGCCCAGCTCTGGATCCTGTCAGGTTTTTATGGTAATCTTTCCAGTCCTTCTGGGCTCCCTCCTTCTGCTCCCGGAACTACTTCATCACCTCCTTCCAAATCACCCAGGACACAGCAGAGGTAGAAAATGCATGAAAAAGGTTGCAGGAGTTAAATGGGGAATGAACAAAAGTGAAAGTAGCTAAGAACTGAAGCAAGCCCTGGACGAGGAAAGATCTAATTAGACCAGGACCTTCCAAACTGGAGACAGAAATGACCAAGGGTATTTCTGAGGCAAGGTTTATAGGGTCACAAACAGTGTGGAAGCAGAATAAAGAACATCCAATTGCTTAGTCTTTTCCCAATATTGCTCCCCAAAAGCATAGGCTTTTCTTCCAATCACCTGCCAGCAGGATCCTGGGCTGATGTCCCTGAGCCTAGCTCCTGTGACTGGTCTGTTCCAGTAATTCTTTCTCTGTCCGATTCCTCCCTTTCTACAGTACTTCCAACCCCCAATTATTTCTGTCTCTTTGTACATGCCCAGAGTTGGGGTGGAAGGGATGAGCATCCAGTGTCCAAAGTCTTCCTCTCTGCTCTTTAGATTTGTCCTGACCTTGAGCATGAATCTTGAATCATCTTCTCTATTATCAAGGGTGTAGGACACCCACATGACAGCTAACGTAGTAATTAGACTTAGGAAATAATTTGTGAGAAAGCCATAGTCTCTGAACAAGGCATTATATAAATGCATGCATGAACAATATCAGGAAGGAAATATGATTTGCTAAAGCGTGGGGGAAAAGAGTTGGTTAAGTTCGCATGTTTGTTTTGTGTATAGTGGCCAGGCTCCGATCAGCCACATGTCAGTGAAAGAGAGAGGTCAGGAAAACAAAACTTCTTTCCCTTCTATCCACATTGAGAATCCAGAAGCAAAGCTGAATTATTGAACTGGATTCAGCTCATCTTGGAGGCAACTGAGCTGAAAAATGCAGCTCCGCAGCGGGGAGAAAGGAACAACGCATGAACACAGCCCAGAACAAGAGAAAGGGTTTGAAATTAAAACAAATAAATGAACAGTAAATAAATGACACTGTTAAAGCGAAGTGCTGCTGAATAGAAAATCTGCAAGTGAGAAATGGGCTGTAGGAAGTGAAAATGTGAGAAAGCATTTAAATAGATTAGAGAGAGGGAAGGTTAATAATAATAAACAAGATTGATATTTCACAAAGAACTAGAAAGAGAGAAAGAGGTAGCTGAGAAATAACGGCACAAAATAAAGTAAATCAAAGCAAACAGACAAAGCTTTGGGGGGGGGGGGGGGAAAAAAAAAAAGCAACGGGGGAGGGGGGGGGGGGGGGGGGGAGGGAATAAATAAAGACAGGCAAAAGGAGGGTAAGAAGTAAGATGCGATAGGAGGGAAGGACTAGTGCTTCACCATTTCCCCTGTGGTGGCATTACTTATTGCTGTACAAATTGCAGTATGTTGCTACGCATAGACACTGTTCAGGATTTAACAACAGCCCTTCAAGGTTTAAGGAGCATTTGCAGAACAGCAGTTCTGCAAATCCCAATTTAACCAGCCACGTCTTTCAGGCTCCAGTGCCTTCTGTGGCACTGGCAAAAAGGGAAGGCAGACGGGACATTACCTGGCACCTAGCCGTGTGCCCCCAAAGGATAAGTTTGCAAAGGCTTTGGTACACAGACCAAGGTCTGGCCGGGTCCCAAAAAACACTGTTCTTGTACCCTGTTGGTATTGCAGTCATGCGTGGGGCCACCGCCAGAGCTCAGGGCTCCAACCAGAACCACGGTGGTGAGGCGGTGGGAACAGACATCTCTTGAAGCAAGGAGCAATTTTTCAGGCAAGGGAAGAAAGGTCTGGGAGAAAAGTGAGGGTGAAGACAACCAGCAGAGAGGCAGCAGGGAAAGCAGATGGTGGTGGAGACTTTAGAGAACAGAGAGCAGAGAAGGTGTTAAAACTCCTTTTTCAGGGACATCAAAAGAGAGAGGGGATGGCAGCAGGGCTAATTTTGCTGCAGAAAGTGGGCCAGGTGGGTGTCGACCAGACTCTGTCACAGTGAGTGTTAAATAGTTAACAGAGGCTTGGAGCTTTAAGGAAGAAACCGTAACCCCCTTGCAGCTTGGCAGCCACCAGCGAGCGGTTGTGCCAGACCTTGGGAGTGCATTGTGCAAGGCCTGTCCCTTTTTTGTAGTTGGAGCCGGATAAAGCACATTTTCGACCCAAGAGGGAATGGTTACGTGAAACAAACTGCTAGGCATGGAAACTTTTTAATATTAACCTCCCCTAAACCCTTTTTTTTTCCCGGAGGGCAGCTCCAATCATGCCCTCAAGCAGCCCTCCTCCACGGTTCAGAGAGAAAATTCTCTGTTTCAGTTCAGGGCTGCAAATAGCAGCCTCAGCCAGAGAAAGAGGAAACCATGGGAGAAGACGGGAATCAAGCAGTGGTGGGTCACGCTCTCAGTGCTCCTGAGTAATGCAGCAGGGCAGGCAGGGCAGGCAGGGCAGGCAGTCCAGCCCAGCCCAGGGCAGCACCAAACTGATCTGGTCCTCCCTTCTTGACAGCCCAGGGAAGGCTGAGTTGCTTCATCTGGCCATACAATGGTGAGGTTAGGTAAAGGACAGGAGGGGGGACGATTGCAGGAGGCGATACCTCCTTCTACCCCACGGAAAAAGGAGGACCTGCACGTGCTATTTTGCCTTTTCTCCTTCAGGTCTGGCTGTTGCAGGCACCCAGCTCTCTATGGGACCTTTTCCCATAGTCCATCTGGATCTGTAGCTGATCTGGCAGGCTCCAAACAATGGAATAGAGCTCCTCATGTTGATGTGGTGACAGACAATGGAGGCTCCTAAACCTCCATCTAGGAAGGACAAGGGTATCCCTGATCCCTGTGTTGCATCTGGCTGAAGTGCAACACAGTCCATGTAAGCGCCCATCTGAGCGCCACAGTCACAATGGCCACCGAGAGCCTTGCCATCAGTCACAATGGGGGAAGGGGCCTGGCTGTACACCAGCCCTTTGGGGCCACAGCCACCAGCCAACAGGGAACCAAAACCATTTTATCACATTCCCTTAGCCTACTAGGTCCCAAGAGATATTTCAGCCTCATCAGCTTGGAAGCTCCTGGGGAGACGTCAAACAGCATCATCACGCATGGGGTCAAGCAACTTGATTCACATCCCCACTAGTGTCCTAATTGAAAGGCCAGGTCCATACTAGCTCACTAAACAGGGCACAAGCTCAGCCCCAATGCCATGCATACTGTTGCACCATTAGCACAGCTTTGGATGCCCCCACCTAGCATTGTCTCAGACACGGGACTGCTCCTTGCAAGCAGTTTAGATGTGACCGCCCTGTTTTAGAGGAAAGACATCAAAGTTATGGATGTGAATCGCCTTTCTTGACTCCAGGGCCAAGGTTTATTAGTCTAGCAGTGGGATCTCGGCAACTGGGAGGAGGCATATTAGAGGTCTGTAAGGTCTGAAAGGGAGAGGACAGTGAAGAAGGAATTTGGGAGGAGGAAGAAAAGGCAGTCAATAAAATTTCTGTACCCTTCTGAGATCCTCTGGAGGAATTAGTCCTCCCCAAGGAGGACACCCCTGGCCACAACCACACCTGGGGAGAAATGACCCTCACAAGTTTATTTAAGGTGCATTTCTAAAGCAGCTCGATCTATAATCTCAAAATCTGACCTTCCCTCTCCACTGAAACTAGGAATTTCTACTTGCTCCAGGTTCAGGCCTGTTGATTCTCTTTCATATGAGCAGTCAACGTGCAAGCACTAAAATGGGGCCAGCTCCTCTACAGCATGTTCGTGCTGGTCCTAACAAGCAGGGCTCTGGTGTTTCTTTGGAAATTTTACATTACAGTGGGCATCTGAATCGTGCCAACATGAACACTTATGAAAAGCAGGTCTAAAGCTTTGTTGCCGAAGATTTTGGCCAGCCTGCCCAGGAAGAAAAGTAGCCGATATCTCATATGTTTATTTTCACAAATGTCTTTCTGATCACTGTAGTTTTCTTTTTTTTTTTTTAATTAAGCTTCAAAATCCTAGAGTTAGGTAGTGGTGTAGAGAGCAGAAAAGGACCTGGGTGTGCTGGGGGACAAGTTAACCATGAGCCAACAATGTGCCCCTGTGGCCAAGAAGGCCAAAGGGATCGTGGGCTGCATTAGGAAGAGTGTTGCCAGCAGGTGGAGGGAGGTGATCCTCGGCCTCTCCTCAGCCCTGCGGAGGCCTCCCCTGGAGTACTGTGTCCACTTCTGGGCTCCCCACGACAAGAGAGACATGGCGCTGCTGGAGA